TTTCTGTGATGTCTGGCTGTAGTAGGGTTTCTGAAAGTTTTCTTTCTCCCTAAGGCACCCCTTTTTTGGTCTTTTGGCCAGAGAGAGTAAACTTTTATTGAGACTTTTTCTTTCTTTTGGGGGGTGGGGTGGGGGATTGCATTTATTGGCATTTCTGGGTTGCTGGCTTCTCTTTGACCCACCGTGGAGTATATGAAGCACAAAGAAGACCCAGGGAGCTCAATGTTGTACAGTTCTTTGGGTTGCAGGGTCCTTAACTGGCCTGCTTTCTCTTTCTCTTTTTGATTTCTCTATGTTATTTTATGTTTAATGTCGAGAGTTTTTAGTTGTAATTAACAAGAAGAATAGGGAAAAGTATATTTATTCCAGCTTTCCAGAAGCAGCGGTCTTGCTCAGAAAGTTTATAAATTAATTTGTTTCTTCAGAAAAAGAGAAAGGCACCTCACAGCAGGTTCTTCAAGCCATCCCCCTCCACCACAGCCAGGATCACAGGCACACGCATATACAGGGAGACCTTGGGACGTGAACCTGGGACCTTCTGGTGTGGCCTCAGCATCACAGTTGCATTACCTCTGTGCCACCGTGGCTGACCTGATCAGAGAATTCCATTGTCTAGTTTTCAGTGAGAAATCTGAAGCTTGCCTTTTGTTCCTTCTTTCATAAACACTTTCTTCCCGGTGGTCTGAAATTTCAGTGGTAGTTCTGAGATACTTTCTTCCTTCATTTTGCACCTGTTTTCCTTGCCTTTGCTTTCCCTATCCTCTCTTTTCTACAACTCCTGTTCTTTTTTTTTTTTTTTTTTGAGAGATTTTCACTGTAGGGTGCGTGCGCTCGCCAGACAGACAGACAGACAGAGAGAGACATAGAGACAGAAAGCGAGAAATCACCCCCCAGGGGGGATGGTCACGCCGCAATCCCTTCTCCTCCATTCTCCTCTCAGGATCTTGGGCACGCACGCACACGCGCCCGGCGTGAGTTTTAAGCCACCGGGTCCGGGACACGAACCGCGGTCGACTACGTGGGAATCCAGCGACATAGCCATTACGCTAACTGCTGGTTCCCCAACTCCTGTTCTTTGATGTTGGCCTACCTGGATTGGTCCTCTGATTCTCTTGCCGTAACTGTTTTCTTCACTCTGTCTCCTTGCCGTAACTGTTTTCTTCCCTCTGTCTCTTTCCCTCCCTTCCTTTCTCCCCCTACCCCTTGCTCCAGATTTCCTCAAGCTTATTATTTAACCTGTCTATTGAGTTTGCTATTTTTGCTACTGTGTTTCTTAAATTTTAAGAGCTCTATTATATTCTCCAAATTTCTCTTATTTAATAGCCTCCTTTTCTCCTTTCCTGGATCCAGTGCCATTGTCTCTCCCTCTGAGTACATTAACAATAGTCCTGTGCCATCTTTGCCCTTTGTAATCTTTTCATCTCCCAGATATCTAATAATCCCTGGCTAGCTTCCAGTGGTTAAATGTAGGGGCCTGGTTACTGATTGAAAGCTGAGTATGTGAGTTGGAATTAATATTTCAGGGGTTTTTGTTTTTTTTGTTTATTTCTTCTTTTTTTTTTTTTTTGTAATAAATTTTTTGGGGTTTTTTTTTTTTTTTTTTTTTTTTTTTTTTTTTTTTTTTTTTGGAAAGGTTGTTGCTATAGGGCACGTACGCTCACCAGAGAGAGAGAGAGACAGAAAGGGAGAAATCACCCCCCAGGGAGGGTGGCCACACCGCAGTCCCTTCTCCTCCATTCTCCTCTCGGGATCTTGGGCACGCATGGATACGCGCCTGCCTTGAGTTTAAGCCACCGGGTCCAGGATTTGAACCATGGCCGACTACATGGGAGTCCAGCGACGTAGCCATTACTCCATCTGCTGATCCCAGTTGTTTCTATTATGGTATAATTTACATATAGTAAAGTACAAAATTAAAGGTATAGCTCAAGAAAAAGAGTATGTCCATCAGCCTAGAAAGTTCTGTGCTTTCTGGCCATTTCCTAGCCCCATAGCATTCCCGCCCCTCTCAGAGGCAGTTGCTTTCTGGTTTCTTTTACCATAGCATAGTTTCACCTGCACTTAGACTTCATAAAAACAGAACCGTCAGACTCTACTCCTTTGTATCTGCCTTCTTTTCAACGAAATGTTTGCGATTCGTGCACGTGGTGCAGTAACAGTGCAGTTCATTGCATTTCATTGCTCAGGAGTCCATTTCAGGGCTGTGCCATGTTCTGTTTGTTCATTTTCCTGTGAATTAACACCTGTGTTGTTTCCTACTTTCAGTTAGTGTGAATAATGCTGCTATAAACATTGTTACCCAAGTCTTTTCCTAGAATCATGCTTTCATTTCTGTGGAGTAAATACTAGGGTAGAATTTCTGGGTCATAGGACAGGCTGTTTAAATAACTGACCATACAGAGCTTCCAGAGCAGTTGTAACATGTTCTACTCCCATCAGTACTGCATGGGAGCCCCTTTCCAGTCTCACACATCCTCACTGGCATTTGATCTCATTAGTGTAGTGTTCACCATTCTGGTGAGGATGTGGTGGTATGTCTTTAAGATTTAAATTTGCATTTCCTCGGAGACTAACGATAGGTATTCGTTCTAGTGCTTAGTGTGAAGTGTCTGCTCAGATCTTTTTAAAAAAATGACTGATTTGTTAGTTTTTTGTATTTTCTGGATATGAGCCGCTTTCCCCAGATACAGATAAAGCAAGTGCTATCTTCCAGTGCTGTGACTTGCTTATGTATCTTTATAATTTGGTGTCTTTTGATGACTAGAAGCTTTATTTATTTATTTATTCGCTATAGGATATGTGCATTCACCAGAAGGAGAGAGACAAAGAGAAAGTAAGAAATCACACCCCAGGGGATATGGCCATGCTGTAGTCCCTTCTCCTCTAGTCTTCTCTTGGGATTTTGGACAGGTGTGCACACACACACACACCCAGCATGATTTTCAAGCTGCTGGGTTCATTGAACTTGCCATAGGGGATCCAATGCCTTAACTTGCATGCTGCCTACTAGCCCAGAAGCTTTAAATTCTGATTAAAATCAGTTTATTAGGCCAGCTTGTGGTCTGGTGGTTAAGGCGCTGGATCCCAGATGGCTGACAGTGTGGTTTGAGTCCTGACCCTATGGCTTAAAAAATACAGGGATTTTATGCTTGCATGCCCAAAATCCCAAGAGGAGGGAGCTATGGAGGAGGGATAGTGGCATGACCATGGGTGGAAGGTGCTCTGCTTTCTCACTTTGATTTTCTCTCTCTCTCGCTAGTAAATACACATGCCCTCTGCCTAAACTTTTTAAAAATCAGTTTATTGATTTTTTTTTTTTTTACGTTTTTGTGTGTGTATGTGAGCTAAGAAGTCATTGCCTATGTACATATGTTAAGGCCTGCTATGTTTTCTTCTAAATGCTTTATAGTTTTAGCTTTAATTTTTATTTCCATTTTTAATGAATTTTTGTGTGTGAAATGAGATACCGGTAAGAGTTCATTTCTTTTTCCTATGTATGACATATTGGATATTCCAGCACCATTTGATGAAAGATTATCAAATTTGAGCTTGACTCTCAGGTCATTTGGGAGAACTCTTTGTTAAGGACCCTTATAATGGTCTTTAGGTCTTTCCTTTAGGGTGATCAGATGGCCCAGGAAAGAGTTCTCCCATCTGCTTGAAGGGTGAGACCTGGTGGCTGGTGTCTTAGCAGCTGAGTATTTTGTCATAGGCATGTATGTTCACAGAGGGAGAGTGAGAAATCACCCCATAGGGGATGGCCATGCCTAATCCTTTCTCTTCTTGGGATATTGGGCATGGATGCACATATGCCTGGCGTGATTTTCAGGCCACTGGGTCCAGGACCCAAATTGTGGTCAGCCATGTGGGAGTCCAGCGTCTGAACCACTACGCCACTGCTGGCCCCAAAAGCGATCATTGTTTATTCAGTGCACTCAGAGCCTAACAGATTTCTTCAAATGCTATGTAAGCCCTTGTAAGCAGTGTTGCATCCCCTGGGAACTTTTGGGAATGCAGAATCTCAGGCCTCACTCAGACCAGCAGAATCAGAAACTACATTTTAACAATATCCTATGTGATTTACATGGCCACTGAAGTTAGACCAACACTATTTTGTTTTTTTGTTTTTTGGGTTTTTTTTTTTTTTTTTTGAGAGAGAGAGATTTTTGCTGTAAGGCACATGCACTCACTAGAGTAACAGAGAAAAAGCAAGAAATCTCCCCCCAAGGGGGAATGGCCACAGTATAGTCCCTTCTCCTCTATTCCTGGGATTTGGGGTGCACACACACACAGGCCCAGTGTGTGTTTTAAGCCACCAGGTTGGACACTCAAACAGCAGTCTACAATGTGAGAGTCCAGCACCTTAACCACTACACTACTTGCTAGCCCAGCACTGTGGGTTTCTTTTTTTTTTTTAAGAATTATTTTATTTAACTTAATTTATTTTAATTTGACCAGAGAGAGACAGTGTAACAGAGGGAGAGAAAAAGAGAGAGAAAGAGAGAGAAGTGAGAAAGCAAGCCACCGGGTCTGGAACTCAAACCATGGTCAGCCATGTGGGAGTCCAGCGCCCTTAACCACCACACCACCTGCCTACCCCAAGTAATGTGGTTTTTTGTTTTGATTTGTTTTGTTTTGTTTTTTGAGAGGTTTTCGCTATAGGGCGCGTGCGCTCGCCAGACAGACAGAAACATAGAGACAGAAAGCGAGAAATCACCTCCTAGGGGGGTTGGCCACGCCGCAATCCCTTCTCCATTCTCTTCTCAGGATCTTGGGCATGCACGCACACGTGCTTGGTGTGAGTTTGAAGCCGCCGGGTCTGGGACTTGAACCGCAGTCGACTATATGGGAGTCCAGCAACATAGCCATTATGCTAACTGCTGGTCCCAGTAATGTGGTTTTTATAATCATTTTACTTCCCTTCAATTGGAGTGGTAAATAAATAAACAAAACAGGACATTTTCTTGCTTCTGATTTTAATTCTCAGTTTTATTCCCAAGTAGTGTTTCTGCTACCCAGTTAGTGGACAAAGTAGAGGAGACAGTCCTGGAGCGGTTGAAGCCTCTCTTGGTCAAGGCCCAGGTAATCTCGCTTGTCTCATTGGCTTGTCTTGTGGAATTTCTAGAATAGAGTGCTGCAGAGGTCACACTGACCTTTTGTAGGGCAAAGTGTCTTTTGGCAGCTGGAGGTTGCCACACTGATGGTCTGCAGAGCAGTGCGTGGGCACCATGCTATCAGGGCCCCTTTTGGATACCCCTCGGCCACCACACACTATTGATGTGTCTTCTATTATGGGAAAGGGATAGAGATGGGAGGAGTTCCATTTTTAGAAAGGTGAGGTTTTTCGTTTGGGGAACAACCCAGATTGTAATTTCCATTCCTCATCAAATCTGTCTGATGGTGATGTTAGAGTTTAGTTCCACTCTTTTTTTTTTTTTTTTTTTTTAAAGAGGTTTTTGCTACAGGGCATTGGGCCTCCAGAGGAGGGCATGTGCACTCACGAGAGAGACAGACAGCAAGAAATCATCCCCTGGAGGGACGGGTAGCCACACCACAGTCCCTTCTCCTCCAGTATCCTCTCAGGATTTTGGGCACACACGCACATGTGTCCAGCATGAGTTATAATCTGCTGGGTCCGGAACTGTAACTGCAATCAACTTCATGGGAGTCCAGCGACGTAACCATTTTGCCAACTACTGGTCCCATCAGCTTCCACTCTGATGCTGTCACCTAAGTGGTTGGGAGCAACTTCTAAAAGGGAGTAATGTTAGGATGGCGTCTGTGCACAAAGCAGTGTTGTCTCAAAAGTGAAGTGACATATAGCATCACTAGGAGGTTGTGCCATCCCCCTGCCAGCAGTCAGTCAAATTCTGCAGCCAGACCCTGTTAGAGCCACCCAGTACGTAGACACATTGTTGTTTGAGTAAATAAACAAGGCCACGGAAGATCATCATTGTAAGTGGAATGAATGGCATTCTGGCCCCTGGACAGGTCACTGAATTTCTAGTTTAAATGTTCAGTTGTTACAGTCCATGGGAATCTCAGGAGTACAGAACTAGGAACCTCTCAGGGATCAAGTTGTCAACTTTTTTTTTTTTTTTTTTGAGAGGTTTTTGCTATAGGGTGCGTGCGCTCACCAGAAAGAGAGAGAGAGAGAGAGACAGAAAGTGAGAAATTACCTCCTGGGGGGATGGCCACACCACAATCCCTTCTCCATTCTCCTCTTGGGATCTTGGGCACACATGCACACATGCCCGGTGTGAGTTTTAAGCCACTGGGTCTGGGACTCGAACCGCGGTCGACTACGTGGGAGTCCAGCAACATAGCTATTACACTACCTGCTGGTCCCTCAACCTCCTCATTTTATCCTCGAAGCAACTGTGGAACAGAGGGGTTGAATGTGATTAAAAGTGCACAGCTGCTCCAACAGTGCTTACAAAACCAGGGAGGAGAAAGGGTAGAAAACCAACAACACATGGCATTCACTTTCATGAAGACAAAGTGCTTGAATTGATGCAAAAAGACGAATCAAGCTAACACTGATGAATAGTTCCACACAGAAGCCATTGTGGTAATAGAATTCTTTTGATATGAGTTGTAAGATTTTATAATTCATGAATGTATCTGTCTGTCTGAATAGAGAGCCAGTTCTTCTGCAGAAGCGAACACTCATCTGAAGGACTGTCCATCAGCAAGCACAGTGCCAGCTCTGCCCACAGAGGAGGTATGTGTTGTGTGCTGTTGGCATTTTGGTATTAGTACGTGATAACGTCATTAGTTGTGAGGAAAATGATATGCAGGTTGTTTTGCCAACACTAGATTATCCTACCCAAGAAGAGTGAGCATTATTTTTCCTATTTAGCATGTTAATTCTTATAGCATATATTTAGTGTTATGACTTAGATTTGTCTTGTAGACAGCATACAGAAATCTCTAGAGTCACAGGTTTTTGTCCTCGGCTCTTTATCTCCTCTCTCGATGATAGAATGTGGGTGCACCTCGTGTAGCCCTGATTGTTGATGGCCCGCGGCAGAAGAATGGCAGCCCATTCGTTTCCTTTCATTCAGCCCAGTTTCGCTAATTACTGGCCTAATTTCCTTAATGCTTTGGGCCTAGTATTTATTGTACGTAAAGCCTGTTTTGAGTGCTTAGTATGTGATCAATATCTGGCCTACCAGAGAGAAAAAGCAGCCCAGGGAAAAAAAATGAAAACATTGGAGAAACGTATTTTGTTGCCCACCGTGTGTTCTTCTTCTGGAAGACTTGTTTTTTTTTTTTTTTTCCCCCATAGGGCGCATAGGGCACGTGCGCTCGCCAGACAGAGAGACAGAGAGACAGAAAGCGAGAAATCACCCCCCAGGGGGATGGCCACGCCACAGTCCCTTCTCCTCCATTCTCCTCTCGGGATCTTGGGCATGCACGCACATGCGCCCAGCGTGAGTTTTAAGCCACTGGGTCTGGAACTCGAACTGCGGTTGACTACATGGGAGTCCAGCGACATAGCCATTACACTAACTGCTGGTTCCCTTGTTTTTCATATTTATAGACTGTTTCTACCTTGCCAGGGCTTAAGGCTGAGGAGTGGAAGGTACAAATTTCATCCGCTTAATTTGTGATGAGGTTGGAAAGATACTCGTTGCTTTTGCTGCTCTGAGCATATGAAGGGCAGAGGACGGGTGAAGGTTTCAAAGTTAGAAGGAGGTTGGAATGAGCTCCACCAGCCCAGTGACCTAGGAAAGAGAACAAAGTCAATTTTGAGAATGTTTCCCTCTTCTAATCATAAAGCAATATTGTAGATGCAGTGTATTTTCATAATCTGTGTGATGATAATTTTATCATATCATTATTTTGTGACATTCTTTTTTTTTGAGAGAGATTTTCACTATAGGGCACATGCGCTCGCCAGACAGACAGAGAGAGACATTAGAGACAGAAAGCGAGAAATCACCACCCCCAGGGGGGATGGTCACGCTGACACCCCTTCTCCTCCATTCTCCTCTCGGGATCTTGGGCACGCACGCACACGCGCCCGGTGTGAGTTTTAAGCCACCGGGTCCGGGACGCGAACCGCAGTCGACTAAGTGGGAGTCCAGCGACATAGCCATTACGCTAACTGCTGGTTCCCTTTTGTGACATTCTCATGTGAGGTGAGGCTTCTAAGACTGGAAGCTAAAAGCCTTCATGTGGCCATTACAGATTCAGGTGTGCTATGGCTGGGTTTCCATGCTGCATAGCTGTTAAATGGTGTCTCCCCCACCTCGTTCTCCCAGGAAAACAGTGAGGGCTGACATCCAGTCTAGGGAGACAACTCCATACTGCATTTGTTTTAATTTGCTCCTCTCGGGATCTTGGGCACGCACGCACACGCGCCCGGTGTGAGTTTTAAGCCACCGGGTCCGGGACGCGAACCGCAGTCGACTAAGTGGGAGTCCAGCGACATAGCCATTACGCTAACTGCTGGTTCCCTTTTGTGACATTCTCATGTGAGGTGAGGCTTCTAAGACTGGAAGCTAAAAGCCTTCATGTGGCCATTACAGATTCAGGTGTGCTATGGCTGGGTTTCCATGCTGCATAGCTGTTAAATGGTGTCTCCCCCACCTCGTTCTCCCAGGAAAACAGTGAGGGCTGACATCCAGTCTAGGGAGACAACTCCATACTGCATTTGTTTTAATTTGCCAGAGGTGTACATGGGGAATGGTTATACCATCTCCAGTTCTCTTTCCTTTTGGGATTTTGGGACTTTAGGCACCACATGTACATGTGCCCTGTGTTTTTTTCAGGCCACCAAATCTGAGATTCAGCCATGCAGTTGGCCGTGTAGGATCCAGTTCATATAACTACTGGGACATGGGCTTGCCCCATGCTACTTTTTTTGCTGCTGTTTGTTTTTTGCCATGGGGCATATGCATGTGCTATTGAGAAACAGAGAGAGAAAGTGAGAGGAAAAGTGAGAAATCACCCCGTGGGGGATTGGCTACACCACAATCCCCTCCCCTCACCCATTCTCCTCTCGGGCACGTACGCTCCCAGTACGATTTTCAAGCCATCAGGTCTGGGACTCAAACTATAATCGACCATGTGGGAGTCTAGCACTTTTACCACTAAACCACCTGCTGCCTCCTTCCCCTCCCCCCAATACCTACATTTTAATGTGAAAGGAAACAAAATGATTATAAACACTGACAGTGAAGCAGACATGTTTGAATATTACTAGGAATGACCTGCCTATGTATACAGAAATTATTCTGTATTCTGTAGGCATTAGATAGTCCAAAATACAATGTATTGAAAGAGAGAAGTAACTTTAGAATTCTGGACCCTGGTTAAACATCAATATTGCAAAAAGTTTCTTAGGCAGCACCATGAAGAGTCAGTTTTTATAAATGACTGAATAAAAGCAAAAACTCGTAGATGTTGACCTGATGAAGTAGAATTTTGTTTTTACTATGCTAACTTATAAAAGAGCTATGGGATCTTGAACACAAGTTCTCAAAATTCTCATTTTTTAAATGGAAAATGCTTTTGCTTTATTTACTTGTAAAATAGATTTATTTATAGGCACGATGATCTCTGATATCAGGAAAAAGCTCTTGTAAGGGCATCATTATAACATTTGTCTGTTGCTGCTGCTTTTGTCTTTAAATAAACCTGCACATGAAATATACTTCTCCAGAATGTATAAGCTGTTTTAGAATTAAAGTTACATATGCATATAGCCAAAAATTCAAACGATTCAGAAAATGTATAAAATAGGAAAGTTAAGCTTCCTCCCACATAGCTATTCTGTACCCTGCTTCTTCCCTTATGCTATAGCTCGGTGATTTTCCCATATCAGCACACTGAGATCTTGCTTAGCTTGTTTAATGGCACATGGTGTTCTTGGCGTTCTTTATAGATGGAAAATATCACACATGCACACACATACACACACATACACCTTACTAACTGGACCTGTGTTATTTGTTGTCTCTAAACTCTTTCATGATTTTAATGTATTGGTTATTCAACTCGATTTTTATTTACTTTCCATTAAGGTTGGGCACTTTTTTAATATCCTTATTAGTTAGTAATATATTTTTTGTGTGTGTGTGTGATAGGGCGTGTGCACTTGCCAGACAGAGACAGACAGAGAGACAGAAAGCAAGAAATCACCCCCCAGGGGGGATGGTCACGCCACAATCCCTTCTCCCCCATTCTCCTCTAGGGATCTTGGGCATGCACACACATGCGCCTGGCGTGAGTTTTAAGCCACCGGGTCTGGGATGCGAACCACGGTCAACTACATGGGAGTCCAGCGACATAGCCATTATGCTAACTGCTGGTCCCAGTAATATATTTTCTTAAGGCAGCCAGATCTCACATGACCAGCTGTGTGGTTTGAATCCCAGACTTAGTAGCTTGAAAAAAACACACCGTGTGTGCACATACATGCCCAGAATCCTCATGGGTGGTACTTTCTTACTCTCTTTTCCTCTGTTGATTACTCTCTGGCAAATTGAAAGAAAAAAAACATTTTCATGAACTGTTAAAAGGTTTTTTGGGGGCTGGCAGGTGGCGTGGTGGTTAGGGCGGCTGGACTCCCACATGGCTGACTGCAGTTTGAGTTCTGGACCATGCAGCTTGCTTTCTCACTTTCCTTCTCTCTGTCTCTCTCTGGTCAACTTCGAAAAGATAAAGTAATGACAATGAATAAAATTAAATAAAAACAATTCTTTAAAAAAAGTTTTTCTTTAAATTGTCATAGCAAGTAACCGTTCATTAAGTGTCTTATTTCATGCCAAGTACTGTGCTTAAAGTCTCAACATGTGGACTCTTTTCACCAAGATGGCACCGAAAGTGAAGAAGGAAGCTCCTGTCCCTCCCACAGGTGATCCCAAAGCAAAGGCTTTGAAGGCCAAGAAAACAATGCTGAAAATAGTCCACAACCACAAAAAAACAAACAAAAAAAGATCCACACATCACCCACCTTCTGGAGGCCCAAGATGTGGAGGCAGTCCAAATATCCTTGGAAGATCATCCCAGGAGACACAGGCTTGACCAGTATGCCATCATCAAGTTCCCCTACCACCAAGTCTGCCATGAGGAAGATGGAAGACAAAAACACACTTATGTTCACCGTGGATGTCAAGGCCAACATACAACACATCAAACAGGCTGTGAAGAAGCTCTGTGATATTGATGTGGCCAAGGTCAACACTCTACTCAGGCCTGATGGGGAGAAGAAGCCAGAGAGAACACTGACTGCTGATTTTGATGCTTTGGATGTTGCCAAGAAAGTTGGGATCATCTAAACTGAGTCCAACTGGCTAATTCTAAATACACACTTTTTCACCGTAAAAGAAAAAATTAAGGGACCAGCATATGGCGTAATGGTTACATCACTGGACTCCCAAATAGTCGACTGGTTTAAGTCCTGGACCTGGTTACTTAAAACTCACACTGGGCGTGTGTTCATGAATTTTCAAGATCCTGAGAGGAGAATAGAGAAGGGATTGTGGTGTGACCAATGCCCCCGTGGTGGGCGATTTCTTGCTTTCTGTCTCTGTCTCTCCGGCGTGCACATGTGTCCTGTAGCAAAAATCTCTCAAAAAAAAAGTCTCAACATGCAGAATGCAGACTGCTCTAATGAAATCTTCATATCTGTGAAATACAAAATTGTTTCCATATTATAGATGAGAGAATTGAGGCCCAAAGAGATGGAGTGAAATTTCCTAAAATTGTGGGCTTATCAGTGGGCAGAACCAGAATTTAATTCCAAAATATCATATTCTGTAGCTTAATATGATCATTTTCCAGCAGACTTTCTTTGTAACAGCCTCTTTAAGTGCTAATTATACACATGTCCTGGAATCAAGAGAAATATAGCATGTATAAAAACACTTTGCAAACCATGAGGTGCTTTGTGATTATGAAGGATATAAGTTTGGGCCAGCAGGTGGCATGGTTAAGGCGCTGGACTTCCACATGGTGGACCACGGTTCAAGTCCCCTGATCCCAGCAGGTTGAAGATCACTCTGGGCGCATGCACATAGATCCCGAGAGGAGAATGGTGAACAAAAGATTGTGGTGTGGCCATCACCTCAGGGTGATTTCTCACTTTCCCCTCTCTCTTTTCTATAAGCAAATGTACTGTATGGTAAAAACCTTTAAAAAGAGAGAGAGAGAAAAGATGCATGGTCCAGAAAGGCTCCTAGGTTTATAAATACAGAGTCTACAACACAGACAAAGCATCCTGGAACTTTGTGATATTCTGAACAGATGTTTTTACAAAAACACTGGACCAAAAGATACATCCTGTGGATTGTGTGACATGCGAAATATTTGACATTCTTCTGACTATAGCAAAAGGGAGATACTTGCTTTAGCAAAACAGATGATGACAGTAATTTACATGGCCAATAGTGGTATTTCTTTGTTAATGCTACCGTAATGCTACTGTGATAAAAATTGTGCTGATGTTCTTTTTTTTTTTTTTTTAGAATTATTTATTTAATTTCACTTTTTAATATTATTATTTTTCAATTTGCTCTAGGGCACATGCACTCACCAGAGAAAGAGAGAGAGAGACAGAGAAAGTGAGAAAGTAAGCCGCCAGGTCCTGGACTCAAACTGTGGTCAGCCATGTGGGAGTCTTTCCAGCATGTCGATCACCACACCATTTGCTGGCCCCTGTGCTGATGTTCTTTTGATGTTTATCAACTTAGGGGAGGTTTGTTTTAGCATAGAAATTCTGCCGGTTAGATCATCGTGCCTTTGGTTTATTATGATTGGCAATAATCTTGAAGCTTTTCTGTTTTCTTTGTATTGCCTGTCCATGCCCCTCTTCCTCTGCTTTGTTTTGTAGGCTACAGCTGTTGCTTCTGAATCTAGCAACAATCATCAGCTAAATGACTTTTTGGAAGATACTGCTCGCGAGCTCTGGGCTCTGACTCATGCTAAGATCGTGGGGTGTGAAACCTTTGCTCCCTTGGGAGACGGCAAGGACAGCCCAAATCTGGAGCTAATGATGCTCCGAATGGAAGAAATGGAAGTAAGGTCTGGGGCTGCTGGTCTGGTTTGCCACTGTGGGTAGGTCTGTCTTTGGTGCAAGCCTTCCTCATACCTCTAGCTTACTATGCCAATCGTGTGGCCCTGGCTTTCCACCCAGCTCTGCTGCCAACAAGTTTATGACCTTGGTATAGTCACTCACCTTCCCTGATGGTGTTTTTAAGGATGTGTTTTTAAAGTGTTTTGATGAGGTATAATAGATTTAATATCCTTCCTTACACATCCCCAGTAAGTGATCACTATTGTTATCCCCCTCATGTTGTTGATAATGTGCTTCCAGAAACACCAAGACCCACAAGTGGGACCACAGGCTTGCCTTTTTATCCATCAGCTTCTAAGCACTATCTGGTTGCCTGTCCTGTCCCACTAGAATGTGATCCTGTGAAATTATAGATAATTGTACCTTCTCTCTCTTTTTTTTTAATTTGTCATTTGGTTTTTAATTATCTTAAGTCTTATGATGACATAATTTACAAATCTATGCTGATGGTATATCTTCTCTACTTTAATCCTCCTAATCAGCAAAAACAGTATTACCAATCACATATACGGTAGTTCTTCAGTTTCTATGTGGTTTCAAACAGTTGCCTAAAGACAATCCTAAAATATAACTTAATGTGACTTAGATCATAGAATTCAAAAGTAAAATTTAACTTGGTACTAAATCTTGTCATACTGACTTTCAAAAACATCTGACCTTACAAATCATTTATAAAATATATAGTGTTACATATTCTTTATTTGCTAATATATACAAACCACACTAAAATGTCTTTCAAGAAGTAAAAGGCAGTATTTCAGATACAGGGAAGTCTACTTAAATTTACATAGTTATGACCATATATATAAAGTAGACATCACTAGCTTATCTTCAGCCCTTGCTTTTAATGGGTTAATAAAAACAAAGTAAAACACAGGTGAGATTGCTTGGTTTTGAGAAGTAAAGGGATTTCTCCATCATTTATATATTCATATCACCGGTTATATGTAAGCCTAAATAAAAAGCCAATCTCCAGTAGGTTGTTTTTTGGGTTTTTTTTGTTGTTTTTTTTTTTTTTTAGAGGTTTTTGCCATAGGGCGCGTGCGCTCGCCAGATAGAGACAGAGAGACAGAAAGCAAGAAATCACCCCCCAGGGGGGATGGCCATGCCACAATCCCCTCTCCTCCATTCTCCTCTTGGGATCCTGGGCACACATGCACATGCGCCTGGCGTGAGTTTTAAGCCACTGGGTCCAGGACTCGTACTGCGGACAACTACATGGAAGTCCAGCGACATAGCCATTACACTAACAGCTGGTCCCTCCAGTAGGTTTTGAGGTGACATTCACTGTCCTTGTAGAAAGATGAGCATTACTAAAGAATTACCAGTCATATCTTTAGAATTTACTGAACTGGGAGTTGGCAGGTGGCATGGTGGTTAAAGGCTCTGGATTCCCACACGGGCAACCACAGTTCGAGTCTTGGACCTGGCTTCTTGCTTTCTTGCTTTCCGTTTCTCTTTCTCTCTCTGGTCAAATTAAAAAATAATAATAACAAATTGAATTAAATAATTCTTTTAAAATATTTACTGAACTGAAATTACTATTAAAAATCTAACAATATTCATTTTTTAATCTTTTTAAAGATTTATTTTTATTTAACTTTATTTTTATATTATTATTATTTTTTTTTTTTGAGAGGTTTTTGCTGTAGGGTGTGTGTGCTCACCAGAAAGACAGAGAGAGACAGAAAGTGAGAAATAGAAAGAGAGAGACAGAGAGACAGAAAGCGAGGTTGGCCACACCGCAATCCCTTCTTCTCCATTTCCTCTCAGACTTTGGGCATGCACGCACGTGCATCCAGCATGAGTTTAAGCCTTCAGGTCCAGGACTCAAACCATGGTCAACTATGTGGGAGTTTAGTGACATAGCTATTATACAACTGCTGGTCCCATTTCTATTCATTTTAATTTGAGTAGAGAGGGATGGGGGGCAGGGGGTAAGAAAGCAAACCACCATGTCAAGGACTCAAACTGCGGTCAGCCGTGTGGGAGTCTAATGCCCTTAACCACCACGTCACGTGCTGGTCCCAGCAATATTCATTTAACCACAAGCCAGTCTTACTTAAATCAGGACTGACCAACAAAAATGTCCCATCAGCCATTCATGATCTGAGTTCTGTTGTAGAAGATTAATTAAAATATGGTACACATAAAAAAGGTGTGTAATAAATTGTTTTGTCACAAATAAGGCAGTAGCTACCTATTACTCATTAGTAGCTTTTTAAGATAAGCTATCAACTTGGCTCTTTCTGACTTCTTTTTTCTTCTTAAGAATTATTTATGGGACCAGCAGTTAGTGTAATGGCTATGTCACTGGACTCCCATGTAGTCGACCGCAGTTCGAGTCCCAACCCCGGTGGCTTAAACTCACACTAGGCACATGTGTGTGCATGCCCAAGATCCTGAGAGGAGAATGGAAGAGAAGGGATTGCGGTGTGGCCATTCCCCCAGGGGGATGATTTCTTGCTTTCTGTCTTTCCGGTGAGCACATGTGCCCTATAGCAAAAACTTCTCCAAAAAAAGTTATTTAATTTTATGTATTCATTCAGTCATTTTCATTTGACCAGAGAAAGACACACAGAGAGAAGGAAAGTGAGAGAGCAAGCCATCAGGTCTGAGACTCGAACCATGGTTGGCCATGTTCAAGTCTCTAGCACCTTAACCACCATGCTATCTGCTGACCCCTGATTTCTTTTTTAATGCCAGTGAAGATCATTTTTGTTCCAGGGATGTACTTCTTGGGATTCTCCAAATGCTCCATCAGTGTACTCTCTCCCCAGGTGATGCTTTTGTTCTTGTTGGCATCTATGTAAGAGAATCCTGGGGCTTGCCCTGTCTTCTGCCCAAATAGACCATGGAGATTTGAGCCGCTCTTCTGCTTGCCTCCCTTTTCCACAGTATGGCACTGGGCACACTTCTGAACAGAAATCTTGCCTTTCGCAACATCAGCCCATTTTTAACTTTCTGATTTGCTCGGGCTACTAAGGTTTCTGCTCAGAAGCCAGATATCCCATTCTCTTAAGTCCAAGGACACACTGGTCTTGATAATCGTTACCTTCTTTAATTTCCATGATACCTGTTTTATTAGGTCATTAGGAAAATCATGATGTACTTTTGCATAGAAAAATACGTCATAACTGCCCCGATGACCTAACAGAATGTTTCTCTCATAAAAATTTAGACCTCAGACAATAAGGCAGTGAGTGGCCAAAGTAAAAATAAAAGAAAAAGAAAAAAAAATTACTCCTGGCAGAGCTAGAGTGAGAACACAGGCCTCTTGACTCCCAGGTCTGTTTTACTGCTAAATGGAAACATTAAGGTCATTTTTCATTGGTTTTTGAAAATTTAAAGATACACAGTTTATCCTAGTCTTGTAACTTACTGCCCATTTTGGGGGATAACTATCCAAACCTGTGTTGCTCAGAACAGTAGCCTCTAGCCTCGTGTGCCTATTGAAATGTCTGTCAGTTAAAATTCCATGCACAGGACCTGCACATAACCAACTGCAGTTCAAGGCCCAGACCCCGTAGCTTCAAACTCATGCTTAGCACGTAGGCATGCATACCCAAGATTCTGGGAGGAGAACAGGGAGAAGGGATTGTGACATGGCCATCCCCCCAGGAGGGGGGGTGATTTCTCATTTTCTGTCTCTTTGTCTCTGGCAAGCATGCACCCTATAGCAAAAATCTCTCCTCCTCTCCAAAAAAAACTTCCATGCATAACAGGTGGCAGTAGTGACTGTTGTCTCTAGAGAGACTTCCCAGTCGTCACAGCAAGTTCTGGTGGACAGTGCCGGTCTAGACTGCAGGCATGCTCATTGCTTCATGGTATTTTACTTTACCTCATGAACTACTCACTTCTTGGCCTGGCAGAGGCCCATTTCTAGTTCTGTGTCTGTATCGATGGTGTCTGATGAACTTTTACAGCCTTACTAGTCTGGTTTGTAATGAAACTCAATTTTTCTCATAAACGAAACTTTTCTTTTCCTTTTTTAAAGAAATACCAGGACATAGTTCGCCAAAGATATAATAAAATCGTATATGCTGATCCTCATTTTTGGATTCAGGAGGACAAAGATGGTAAGTGTTTTCCCCAACATTTTATTCTGAAAAATTTCAGACATATAGAAAACTTGGAAAATTGTACAGTAAACACTCTCATCGTCCCCTTTCAAATTCTAAAATTAACTCTTTGCTATATTTTATCACATCTGTCTATCTCCATAGCCATCTGTCAGTTCATCTAATCTTTGTGTTTTAAATGCATCTTCCCTTTTTCATTTTAAAGAACGTTGCAAATATTATATACTTTCACCCCTAAATATTCAGCATATTAGACACTTGCAGTAGAGTTTAGTATTTATTTGTGTTTCTTTTTTCTTTAGAGATAAAACTTACATAATAATAAAATGGACAGATCTTAATTATGTAATTTGCTTGGTTTTGTTACCCACACCCCTAGCAAGAACATACTTGGAAGATTCTTTCCTGCCCCCTCCCAGTCAGTCCCTACCACACAGGCACAACTGTGCTTTGTTAGTTAGTTTGGACTGTTCTGGAATTTCTTATAATTAGGCTATACAACCATGCAGTTTGTACTTTTGTATAGACTACTTTCATTCAGCATATTATTTTATAAGCTAATGTATATTGCTTATTTTCTGTAGCTGCTGTAAAACATTTAACTTTGTAACAAACTTAAGCCACAAATTTAGGTCTTAAAACACAAATATATTCTTTTATAATTCTGGAGGTCAGAAGTTTGAAGGAGTCTTTTATAAAGGGCAGATTGGCAGGGCTGTTTCATTTTGGAGGCTTTGGGCAAATCAGTTCCTTTTTTCTTCCAGGTTCTAAGTTTTAAGCTATTAGGAATAAATCTGCTACGAATACACTCACGTATAGTCTTTGTGTGGGCATAAGTTTTTATTTCTTCTGGATAAATACCTACAAGTAGGTCTGCTAGGTCATAAGATGAATGTATGTTTATCTTTGTAAAACATTGCCAAGTCTTGACCAAAGTGCTGGTACTTTCCACTCCTACAAACACTTCCATCTGCCTTGTGCTCCTGTCGCCCAACATCCTTGCCAACATTGGGTATTGTCAGTCTTTTTCATTATAACCATTCTGGTGGCGATGTAGTGGTATCTAATTTTGGTTTTAGTTTAATTTCCTGTGTGATTAATGATACTTGGAGCCTTTTCAAGTGATCATTAGCCATTTACATACCTTCCTTTGGGACGTATCCAAAATTTTTTTTTTTTAAGTTTATTTATATATTTATTCTGCGAGAGAGAGAGAGAGACTGACCCCTAACAGGGTCTTCATGCCACGATCCACCCCTACACTCAGCCAGTTGGATGATGGGCACATGCGTGTGTGTGTTCCCACCTAGCATGTACAGTCCTTGACACATGAAATCGGGACCTTCCCGTGTTGAGTCCAGAATCACAGAGCATTGCATTACTGCTACGTCACTGACTGGCCCCTTATTCTTTTTATTTTTTTAAGAGGTTTTTGACTTAGGGTACACACACTTACTGGAGAGAGACAGAGACAGTGAGAGGAAAAGTGAGAAATCATCTCCCAGGAGGGATGGTCATACCACAGTCCCTTCTCCTCCATTCCCTTCCCGGGATCTTGGGCACGCATACACATGCCTGGCATGAGTTTCAAGCCACTGGGTCCAGGTCTCAAACTGCGGTTGCCCATGTGGGAGTCTAGTGACATAATCGTTACACCATCTGCTGGCTCCCCCCACATCCATTCTTTAAAAAGCAGATTTATTTGCTTTTTCCATGAGAGAGAGGGAGAGAAACACCCCTAACCAGGTCCTCATGGCACTCTCCCCAGCCCCACCCAACTGAGACTGTTTATACTAGTGTGCGTAGGAGAGGAGACCTCGTGCTGCCAACATGGCAACTTCCCCATGTGGCGTCAGCATTACAGAGTGTTGTGTTGCCACTGGCTACCACGGCTGGTCTGTCCCTCTATTTTTTAAATTCTCGAATTGTAGGAATTCCTTATAAACTTAAAGGAGTAAGTTTTTGTTAGGTATTTTTGTTTTTAAAAGTAGCTTTAAAGAGGGACCAGCAGTTAGCATAATGGCTATGTCACTGAACTCTCATGTAGCTGACCGCAGTTTGAGTCTCGGACCCGGTGGCTTAAACTCAACGCCGGGCACATGTGCATGTGTGCCCAAGATCCCGAGAGGAGAATGGAGGAGAAGGGATTGCGGCGTGGGCATCGCCCATGGGGAGTGATTTCTCACTTTCTATCTCTCTCTCTTTCTGGCGAGCGCATGCGCCCTATAGCAAAAGCTTCTGAAAAAAAAATTTTTTTTTAAGAAGTAGCTTTAAAGATACATAATTTACATACCATAAAATAAATTTTTTTCAATTGTATGATCTTGTAGTTTGTGGTAAAATCATGCAGCCATCACTGTCATCTAATTGCAGAACATTTTTATCACCCCTAAAAGAAACCCTGTGTCCATTAACAGTTGCTTGCTAGTCCTCCTCCCCTGTCCTGGCATCCACTGATTACTCACAGAGATGTTTTACAAATAGTTTTCTCTGTCTAGATCATCTGTTTAGTTATTCAAAGGTGTTATGAGCAGATATTTTTAATTTTGGCAAAGTCTAATATCAGTTTTTTTTCTTGTATAGATTTTGATTCCTGTGATCTAAGAAACCTTGTCTTAGCTCCAAGTTGAAAAGAAATTCATTTGTTTTCTAAAAGCTTCATGACTTCTGCTTTTATGTTTAGGTCTATGATCCATGTTGAATAAAAGTTTACTGTGATTTGTTGTAGAGGTTGCAGTCTCTTTTTCTTTTCTTCCTAATGGATACCCATTTGCTATATAAAACCATTTGTTGAAAGGACTTTTGCTTTTTTCCATGGCTTTTCAAAGTGAATGCATAGCATTTTGGCCGCATTTGCTAGGCTACCCTCACAATGTTGTCTGAGAAGTGTTACTCAGATTCTGTTTGACTCATGCTTATCAGTTACTCCTTTACTCAATGAAAGGCGGAGAACAAACGTGGTTAAACATTACCTCTAAAGGAATCTTAAGTGCTGTGAGAACTACATTACTGAAAAGTGTGAAGGAAATTGGGGCATAGAAGGTTTACAGCCATGCATCCACATACAGTTATAAAATACTAGTTTAGGGTATTATGTTAGAATAATTCTTTATGTCAAATTTTGACAGGAAAACCAGCCATTTAAGGAAAATACTAATTTTATGTGTTCTGTATTTGTAAGCACTCTTGTTTTTTGGTTCATATTGTTCCCTTCCCCTCAACCCTTCTCCAGCCTCCGTTTTCATTCTTACATAACAACCTTGTCAAGGCCCAGCTTAACTGATCCTACTTGACTTCTGTAGTGCTTTTCCTGGTGTTCCTGTACTACTTGCTGCCCTACCCCCCGCCCTTTCTTGCAATAAACTCCCAAACACATTCTGGCATGGTCTTATTTTTAAGAGAAATTTTTGCTACAGGGCGTGTGCACTCACCAGAGAGACATAGAGAGGCACAGAAAGTGAAAAATCACTCCCCGGGGAGATGGTTACGCTGCAATTCCTTCTCCTCTATTCTCCTTTCAGGATTTTGGGCATGCACACACATGTGCCCGGTGTGAATTTTAAGCCACGGGGCCCAGGACTCAAACCACAGTCAACTATGTGGGAGTCCAGTGACGTAACCATTACTTCCTCTGCTGGTCACACACTCTGGCATGTTCTATCTGTGTTTGAGTTGTTTGTGAGGGTAGCTCTTCTCTCCCACCTAATTCACAGTCTTTAGAGCCAGAATTTTGTCATTGCCAGTCATGTCCTCTATACCTAGCGTGGGGCTGCCTAACAAAGGCCCTTCTAATCACTGTTCAGTGAGCCCTGGAGACTTTTTTTATATGGATGCAGAGGGAAAGATAAAGTTGAAGGGCATTGCGCTTCACCGATGACTTGGCCTTTGGCCACAGAGTTAGGTCGCAGCGTGTAGAAGACAGTTTTACAGAGGACATAGTGTTCTCTTCTTTCAAGGATCATTTCAATTATTAGTCACTATCTGTGACTCTGCATAGAGTCTAGAGATTAATAAAAGGAGCGCTTTTGAACACTAAAACCTAAAATGAGTTTTTAGGTGCTTGTTATTCCAGAATTGTGACAAAAGTAAGGACCTATGTTTCCAGTTGTTCTGATTATTTACATCACAGAATCAAATTTAAACTAGTTTTTGTGCTGGTTCTGTGGTAAAGCAATAATGCACTGCTCGTGAGAAGCCAATCCCATGTGATGACCATGACCCTAGTCCCTGGACTGGTCAGCCTGAACAACACGCTGGGCGCACGTGATTGGACAAGATCCAGTGAAGGAAGGGTATCATGGCATGACCTCTCTCGCTTTTTCTCATGTGCATGGACATACTCTGTCGTGAATAAAGAAAAAGAATTAACTTTGGATTTACGCATTGTCTAATTTATGTCTCTTACCTTCTCTATAAATAACCTAAAATTGTACTCTTGACTAGTGTTTTTGCAAAAACTGACAATGTGGGGGCCAGGAGATGGCATAGTGATTAAGGCACTGGACTCCCATATGGCCGACCATGGTTCAAGTCCTGGACCTGGTAGCTTGAAACTCGACAGGTGTGTGTGCTTGCACACCCAAAATCCTGAGAGGAGAAGGGAAAGGAGATTGTGGCTTTGGCCATCCTCCCTGAGGGATGGTGATTTCTC